AATACCACCCAAACGCCTCTTGAAGGGCCCCGCCCAAATGCACCCTCAACAAGATTACCTGCTGGTTGGTACTGATAGGGCATTGTACTACTTTGGGGAAGTAATCAGTATTTTTTTTTTTTTTTTACACAATTTGCTTATAGCAAAGAATTACGTTACCATCAGATAGATGAATCCAGAAGCTCCATAGAAAACTGTGCAGTGGTGGCAGTAATATAAAAACCCCACTAGGGGGAGTACCTTTATTCATCACCACTGTACATCATCCCCGAGTGGACAGGCCGTCCACCTTACCCAGGCACTTCCTCCAAGCCACAGGCTCAAGTGCTTTATGCTTACTCCAATAAAGGTACTCCCCCTAGTGGGGTTTTTATATTACTACCACCGCAGTGCTGTTTTTTTCTATGGAGTTCCCTGAAGAGAGAGATTTTCAGAGATCGCCTACAATCTAATGTTTTTAGGACATTTACATCAAACAGAATGAATTACACATCGGGTATAAAAAGTGTCAAAGTGTACATATCAATTTGTTATGTGAATACAAGCCTATATTATGAAATCTGATACAATATTCTGCAATATCATATTTTAAAGACTTCCAAGGTTTAAGTTTCATGCTGCTAAGTACATGTGTAGCTAAGAAAAAGTCGAGTTAATTAATAATTGTTTGAGAATAGGTCTCTTAACATTAACTGAATACTTAGAAATTCACCAACCCATTTCAATGTTCACAGAACAAGGGTAGATTTCCAGCATCACTGGGTCACTTCTCAGGCCCTTAAAAGAAAGAGCTTTAGGATACCTTATTGGCCTTCAAAATAGTTCCTGGTAATAGTGATAGGAGAGCTATCTCAGGGTTTGTGGAGATATCTGAGCCTGTCATCTGTTTATAGGTCTCAAAATCTGGTTTCCAGAATATTAATATTGGCAGACAGATCCACCAAATATGAAGCATTGTGCCTATATAATTTCTAAATCTCCAATACTCATCATACACCAGGGAGAATATCTTATGCGGGTCAAAGGGACATCTATACTATTGCACCAAAACCTTAAAGCTCCACTCTTGAGCATAGTTATGCTCACTTTGTAAGTTAGAGTAAAAGTAAAAGGTCACTTTCTTGATTGTAAGTTTCAATCCCTTTTCCCAGGCTGCCGAATAGTGTGGATGGATATGTGTGATGAAGACCTCAATTGTGATATGAGATAAGAGTATCTCTTGTGTGTAGAGAGTTTCAAATGTAGCACCCTCCTAGGTAGGTTGCTAGGATGTAGATAGTTTAGTATAGTGTGGTCTGCTGCGTAACACAAGAGTGATAGACAAAACATAGCAGCTTATCTGCTTAACAGGAAGCTATAATTGTTAGGTGAGAGATCATGTGTGGCTTACAGTGCTGCTGCTGCTGTGATTGGCCCCTCTGTATCCAGAAGACCTTGGAAGGTTCTGGGTGAACAGAAGTGATCCATGCAGTCCAGCAGCATAAATATGGATGCAGTTCCAGCCAATTACAGGGAGTGGTGCCCCTGAGCATACTGGGTACTAGTATTTATATTCGCTGAACACCTGTGATCTGGGTTTTTCTTCCTCTTCCTCTGAGATGGGAATTCCAGCCAAGGGAGGCGGCTGCCTGGAGGAGCTCAGAGTGTTCTTACAATGGGAATATAATCTGGCCTATATCAATGGGATTGAACATGAGATACCCACAGGAGTTTTGACAGTTAAAAAGGATGCCCTTCAGGCTAAGCAATAATGCATCTGCCACATTCCAGGGAATGATGGAACACTGAACCTGGAACATGAACTTGGAAAGTATCCTATCTAGATTATGTAGTGGTGTTTTCTCCAACATTTCAAGATGATCATGAACACTTAGATACTGTGTTGGCCCCAGTACACCAGTATGTGCTTAAGTTCAAACTCAAGAAGTGCCATCTGTTGCCAGCTGTGTGAGATTGAGTTTCTAGGTCACGATGTCTCCAAAGTATACTCCCCAATCCCCAGAAAGAAAATGCTATACAGTAATAGAGGCCCCCCCAATGACCGTGAAGTCAGAACTTTCCTTTTGTTTCATCAAGCACTACAGCCATCACGTTGCCCAAGTTCAAAAGCTCCTACATGGGGTGAGCCCAAGGGAGGACACAGAAAAGTGTAATGGGAATAAGAACAAGCGATATTTGACATACTGAAGCAGAAGCTTATGGTGGTACTCTTCTGGATAAAAACAGATGCAGGTATTCAGGGCCTGGACACCGTACTCTTGCAAGTACAAGGCAAACAGGAGAGGGTCACTACCTATGCCCTTTGGAGCTTATGTGCAGCTAAGAGGAACCCTGCAAACTACTGTTCCTTCAAGCTGGGGCTGTTGGCCGTAGTGTGGGCAGTCACTGAATGCTTTGCTGAGTACCTGGCAGAAGCCAAGCTCAAGTTCTGGACAGATAACAATCTCTTCATGCATCTCCAAGCAGGTAAACTAGGTTTTCTGGAGCAATATTGGGCAGCCCATCTGGCAAAGTTTAAAATCTTCTTGTATTACCACCCTACAAAGAGCAACAAGAAGGCCCCAACTGAACCTCATTCATGTACTGGAAGAATATAACTGGGAAGAAACACAAAGAGAGGATCCAGTGGCTGTCCCCCCACTAGTGGCAATAAAATTATAGCAGTGGCTCAGTCCCAGAGAAAGATCAAAGCTATTACCAGAAATCAACAAACTGCTGAGTGAACGGCCCCGATCCTCCTGAGGGATGATTTTCTCAACCACTGAATAATGTTTCCCCATGGCTTGCCAATAACCTGGCAGGTAGTACTGTCAAGGGCCCAGACCCTTTCTTCTGATGCTGTGTTGTCTGGTTGGTGTCAAACGGGGCTGAGGCCTGGATTCCACCTCTGAATTGTCCCTTTGGGAGTAGCGATCATCAACTTTCTTAAACAACATGTCAGAAGATAGATACCATCAGGTTCTACCAATAAACCTGTTTCGAAAAGTGAGTTCTTCCAAGACCGACGGACCTATGGTGTCGTTGTGACATCAGGGGGCGGGGTTTACCTCTGTTTGCTGCACTGATTGGTGGATTGTCTGTTAAATACCTATTGTTGTGTACTGCAATTTGTCACTTACCTGACGAAGGGGCCCTGCGTGGCTCTGAAACTTTAAAAAAAGCCTTAATTTGCATTAGGTGACCACAGAACAAAACCTTGAGCCTGCTTGAGGGATTCTTGGTGTGCTGGTGACCTTTCTTCACATTGAATGCCCACGTTGCCCAACCTGTGATCACTACAGCACCCAGCTATACTGGACAGTCTATTTCAGAAACATGCGCAATGGGAATATTGTGACTGGACTTCCAACACTGGTGTCACTCATTAGGCATCAGGAACTCGCACACTACTCTGTTCCACCCACAAAGCAACTGAGCATGTGAAAGCTTTAATTGCTCTCTGATACAACTGCTGAGAAGCTTAGATAATGAGAAATTAAGGACCAACAACTTAGTCAAAAGTGGTCTGGAAATATAACATATTTGGTTCCTCTACAGGAGCCATAAAGTACATTCCTCAACAGGAATAATGTTATGCTTGGCCTTACTCTTTGACCTATAAGCCACGGTGTCCACAGGACTTGAACCTGCTATGAGGACCTTGATAAAAAAAACTGGAAAGAAGGCCTGAAGTCCAACAGTTTTTATAAAGACCAGTTATGGGAGCAAGGAGAGTTGGAAGCATCAGACCTGGAGACAGAGTGCTAACCTGACATAAAGCTGCACACCAACAATGAAATTTGCAAACACTTTGGGCAGAAGTCCCTGGAGTTTTCTACACCAGCCCATTCCAGGCATACCAGGTAAAAGCTAACAGGTGGCATGAGGGCACACAGTGGCACAAGTGCCTCCTAGTTCTTGCTAGATGCTGGTGCAAATACATGTATCTGAATCGGTCAGTGCCGACTAGCTTCCCTTCAGGAAATTACACACAGGAGACTGGACACAGGAATATCAGGCCCAATTTGGCAAATCTTTTTGGTACTCAAACACAGGACTGGTCTTCCTTTTCTGTGAGCCCCTACCACTGCTTCTAACTGAAGTAACCCATCTTCCAACCTGTTTAGTATATATATATTAAAGTATTACTAAACCCAGGATCTTGCATTCACTATATCTGGTCTCCAGCAGTACACAGAACATGGAAATGCAATTATTTTAGTAAATATAAACTGCTAAAAACCTTTTCCCATCAGCAGTTAGAGCAGTCTTGTGACTTCTATCAGTGTTCAGCAGAGAACTGGTTAAAGCTTGTAGGAGGAGTTTTCTCTAGGAGGATGTAGAACCCCTGATCCCATCTGGGCAGTGCTGATTGGCCCTATCCTGATCACATGCACTCTCCCCCCAAAAAAAAACTCTCACACCAAACAAAACTGAGCATGTGCAGTGTCTCCACACCATATGTCTTATCAGGCAATAAGAGGGAGACACTGGAAGAAAGGGGGAGGATCAAAGAAGTCAAGATCAAACATCCTTTTTACACAATGGATAAGATTAACCCCTTAGGTTCTACAATGAGTATGACAAGCATGCTTTACTGCATATACAGATTGATTTTACTGTCGTGGGTTTAGTAACTCTTTAATTCTTTTTCACAGTTTTGTAGTTAATACCATGATAGTTGTTCTTTGGATGTGAAGGTCTGTTATCAGTTTACTATTTGTTGCATGTCTGATTAGTGGGGCAGAGCAAATCTTTTTCTTTACTATATAAGGGAATTGCTTTTGTATTTCTGGGCATCCAGTCCAGATATGCACACAGCTCTGCCGCACAACCCTGTCTGGCAGGAGAGGGAACCAGAAAAAAAATGCACTAATGGAAGGAGCGCCTGACCAACTTGATGTGGCTCCATCTACCACAGCCTCAGCTAGCTTACACATTGCCTCAGTGTATTTTACCTGATAAACCTGCCCACCCCAACAAGGTAATGAAAAAATTATTTTACAGTCCTCTAGCTTTACCTTGTCTTGGAGCTCTCTCAAGAGAAAGGACACTGGCTGTCCATGGAGATTTCCTGAAGAGGTAGTCAGTGGGGTGTTGATGTCTGCATGTGCATCGACCCAAATTACACATAGATCTGAACAGAGTTGAGCATGACCGCTAATAGTGCCAAGTGCCAAACTGCAATATTAACACAGAATAAAAAATGTTTAGAATAATAACAGAGCACTGAAATTAAACTCTTACAAAAAAAATCCCCCATCAATATTGTACTAAAACACAATGTCCCATTAAAATACTGGCAGTCTTTTGTGCAGTTTTCCTGACCAGATTGCTTGCTGTCTTAGAGGCCAATGCAGTCTCTCCATTGAGTAAAAAATGGGCAAGTTGAATGATAATTTAGCAACTTTGGTGGAATTACAAACTCATTTACCCTAGCAAAGGAGGTGTCTCTGTTTCAAAAAGGATGTACACAACCTTAAAAGTACTTTTATAAATAATTAAAATTATAATAGTGTGTGTCTCTCACATAGCAGGATATTTAAGGAAGAATTTGACAATCACCAAACACCTACAGCAGGAAAATCCTTGAGCATGTGTTTTAAATAAGTGACTGATTCACCATCAGTGGATGCCTGGCAAAAGTCACACACACACCGCTCCACAGACATGTCCCACAGTCTATATTTAAATATAACAATTCTGTATTAAAAAACTATAATTGAGAACTTATAAAGTCATTTGAAAATCTACATAACAATGTAAAATACAGCAATAAAGATGTTGAAACAAAAATATTAAATAAAAACAGTCTAAAACCAGATTTAGCAAAATCTCAGTCTGCCAAGAAGTAATACAACAAACATATATCGCTGATTAAAACAATGGTATTGTCATAACTGTAAAATAAATGACCTGGAAATGACTTTACATTAAAACAAGTAACCGGACTCTAAAACAGCATGTCAATATTGTATTTGCATATGGGAAGCTTTTATTTAATAAATTATTACACTATGAGAGGCGTTTTTCTCCTTTTTTTCCTTTCATGAGTGCGCACCTCATCCTGGATTGTGGAAGCCTTCTTATTACCCAGAGTGTTAGGTGGATCATTCTATCTGGTGGGCAAGAGTGGCAAGCTGACCTTTGTAGCTGAGAGTGCATTTTGACCTATAAATTATGGGTCAATGACCAAGGTAAGGGCGCAATTCATGTGGTGGAGGTGCACATGGTGTATTGGGCCCACTGGTGCTCACTGTCTTGTGGAAGTCTAACACACAGTTTGATCTGTCATTGGACTTATTGTTATTGGTCTTGTGGAAGCCTGGAACGCAGCTTGTTTTGTTATTTGACTTATACTGGACATTTATGCTGTGGTTAACTTTTAGCACTGGATTTATGTTGCTATCACATTTATTTATTCATTTTTATCACAGTCATAAATATTTGAATATTGTTTATTTAATATTGCACATCAACGGTTTTTCGGGGTTAGTGGGGCTGTCAGGTGTTTATTTCAGGTATCATATACTGAATATTCATTATCTTGTGTTTTATTTTTCTTTTTATGTTCACTTTTGTTTGTTTACAGATATGGGGGGATATGTTATATAATGTGTTCACATATATTGCACTTGATTTATTATTGATTCACATATTTTTAATTATTTATATATATATTAAAATGTTAATAAACCCAGGATCCTTCATTCACTATATCTCGTCTCCAGCAGTAGACAGAACATGGAAATGCAATTATTTTAGTAAATATAAACTGCTAAATACCTTTTCCCATCAGTAGTTAGAGCAGTCTTGTGACTTCTAGCAGTGTTTAGCAGAGCACTGGTTAAGGAGTTTTCTCTAGGAGGATGTAGAACCCCTGACCCCATCTGGGCAGTGCTGATTGGCCCTATTCTGATCACATGTACTCTCCAAAGAAAAAAAAAACTCTCTAGCAATACACACCAAACAAAACTGAGCATGTGTAGTGTCTCTACACCATATGTCTTATCAGGAGATAAGAGGGAGACACTGGAAGAAAAGGAGGATCAAAGAAATCAAGGTCAAACGTCCTTTTTACACAATGGATAAGATTAACCCCTTAGGTTCTACAGTGAGTATAACAAGCATGCTTTACTGCATATACAGACTGATTTTACTGTTGTGGGTTTAGTAACACTTTAATTCTTTTTCACAGTTTTGTAGTTAATACCATGATAGTTGTTCTTTGGATGTGAAGGTCTGTTATCAGTTTACTATTTGTTGTTTGTTTGATTAGTGGGGTAGCGCAAATTCTTTACTATATAAGGGAATTGTTTTTGTATTTCTGGGCATCCAGTCCAGATATGCACACAGCTCTGCCACACAGCACAACCCTGTCTGGCAGGACAATGCACTAATATAAGGAACGCCTGACCAAAGGATAAAACAGTCCAAATGAATTTATAATTTTATACTAAAAAACAGCCTAGGCGTTTTAGGGGTCAGAAAAAAATTCCCATTCACCAGGTCTTCAGTTAAAATAAGAACCTTGAATGGACTCAAAATTTAGCTTTCCTATGTGAATCTATGTAGTGAAGCTAATCTCTGGATCAAAAGAGTTGCTAGCCAGCAGTACAATTACCACACCCTTCAAATGCTTAGAACAAAAGAAAAATCATTGTGCAGCATGATTTAAACAGACAAACCTTACACGTAAAATATTACATTATGTGAAGGTTTAAACTTATATCTTATACCTACCCAGTGGCTATCTCCAGTAGCTTCTTTGCCAAAGCAGGTGTCTGTTCTGCAGCTGCTGGAGTGGAAGACAAAACGTCCCCAAATTACCCCCTTCCACAGTTTAAACCCAGCTTGGAAAAACAGCTGGCTTTGCAGCTCATGGAATTAGCCCCCTTCTATGAGTATGACACATTTGCAGGTACTCAGTTGACATTATTTTGCTCAAGCCACCATTCTTGCCATCCACCTGTGGACAATGCTGTCAGTGGCAGGGTATACATGACTTTGGACACATGGTCCAGCAAGCATGACATATACTTCACACTGGGCCATTCTACTTGCGGCTGGGAAGATTGCAGGATGGGGCACACTACTTAACCTAGTGGTGCCATCAGGTTCTGGTATGTTGGTGACAGTGTAGTCATGTATATCCACTCCTCATTTGCCTCATACTGGGAACAAGTAGCCCCCCCTTCCCTCAAGCACCGCAAAGCATATGTAACATCTCAGGCTAAATACTCTCATGCTGTTTTGACTAGGGAATAGGAGCCACACTACATCAGAGTTCCTGGTAGCTCTCCAGGCCCAGGCTGAGAGGTAGCTGATTTTAGGCCACCTTCATCCTGGCAAGATCATTAGTGCCAATGTCACCATTGGCAAAGAAAATTCACATGTACTTGGCACATGTCATCAACCTGATTGTGTGGTGGTTCCTCATTACAAAAAAACCCTGCTTACTGGCCACCTCCAACTTTAAGACTAAATTAAAGTTGTTAGTAAAAAACATTAGAAGAAGGGACCCAGGCGATTGATGAGTATGCTGTAATAATGTACCGTATTTGCCGGCGTATAAGACGACTTTTTACCCCTTGAAAATCTTCTCAAAAGTCGGGGGTCGTCTTATACGCCGGTATACGGCATACTGACACTTTTTAGGGGGGCGGCGCGTTGCCGCCGCCGCCCCCCCCCTTCCCCCAATGGAAGGGACACTAAGTACAGGGGTGGGCAGCGGCTGTTTCTTACCTGGTTCCGGTCCCACGACGATCCGGTCCAGGAAGCGCGTCTGCGCCTTCAGTTCGGCCACTGGCTCCGCCTCCTCACCAGTGATTGGCCGCCAGAACTGTAGCTCAGGAAAGGCACACAGGCGGCCAATCACCGGCGAGGGGGTGGAGCCAAGCGGCCCCGCGAAAATCGAGTGCAGGACCAGCAGGTAAGTGGTCAGTGTAGAGGTGCTGCTGCAACCACATATGCTGGCTGCAGCAGCACCATACGAGAACAGGGTCAGCAAGTGTCAGTGGGAGGAATAATGCCCCATCATTGGTGTCACTGATACCAATGATGGAGCACTATTCCTCCCACTGATACCAATGATGGGGCACTATTCCTCCCACTGACACCAACGATGGGGCACTATTCCTCCCCCCCACTGACACCAACAATGGGGCACTATTCCTCCCCCCCACTGACACCAACGATGGGGCACTATTCCTCCCCCCCACTGACATCAACGATGGGGCACTATTCCCCCCCACTGACACCAACGATGGGGGGCACTATTCCACCCCCCACTGACACCAATGATGGGACACCATTCCTCCCACTGACACCAATGTTGGGACACCATTCCTCCCACTGACACCAATGATGGGGCACCATTCCCCCCACTGATACCAATGATGGGGCACTATTCCCCCCACTGATACTAATGATGGGGCACTATTCCTGCCACTGATACCAATGATGGGGCACTATTCCCCCCACTGATACTAATGATGGGGCACTATTCCTCCCACTGACACCAATGATGGGGCACTATTCCTCCCACCGATAAATGATGGGGCACTATTCCTGCCACTAATGCCAATGATGGGGCACTATTCCTGCCACTGATACCAATGATGGGGCACTATTCCTGCCACTGATACCAATGATGGGGCACTATTCCTCCCACTGATACCAATGATGGGGCACTATTCCTCCCACTGATACCAATGATGGGGCACTATTCCTGCCACTGATACCAATGATGGGGCACTATTCCTGCCACTGGTGTGCATTGGAAGAGGGGTAGTGTTATACGGCGAGTATAGCTCAAACACTAAATTTTAGCAGGAAAAGTAGGGGGGTCGTCTTATACGCCCAGTCGTCTTATACGCCGGCAAATACGGTACTGTATATATGCAATTCAAGCAGCAAGAGATGGAATGAGGAATCTTTCCTGCACTCATGGTCAGTGCTTATGATGTAACTGCTTTTTGATTACTGTCTAAAGTTCTAGTTAAATCATCCCTTGTTGTAAAGACATGTTATAGAGTAAAACAGTCCTCCCCCCAAGCTATTGGGTATATAGTGCATTCATTTAGTGAATCGGCATGAGGGTTGCAGATGTTTAAGAACATTGGACAGGGACACTACATACTGGAACACTAATAGATACATTTTTACAAATAAAGCAGTTG